CTTTTGTTAGGTTTTGATTGCTTCTATTGTCCTCATTTGTAAGTCGCTTTGGATAAAAGCGTCTGCTAAATGACTAAATGTAAATGTGTCGAGTTGGCTGCACTACCCCCTGTTTGTGTTGCAGGCGGCCATCTCCCCTGTGCGCTTCAGCACGCTAAAAGAGCTTTTTCTCTAAAAGAGCATTCACGGGTGCATCTTTTTAAAGACAACGTTGCGTCTGGCAAACGCGACGTTGGGTCTTTGTAAAGACGATGTTGCGGCTTGCTACAGATAACGTATCACCCGTGCATTTCTGGATGTGGTCGTTACCTGGTGTCGGATGATGGTCGCGATCACTGCCTCACGTGTCTGGGCATTAAGCACGCTGAGGTGGCATTCGTGGATGAGTCATGTTCTCATTTTGGGAAGATGACCATCTCGGAGTTGCGGGCCAAACTCGGTTACCTCGAAAGGGGCGGAGCTCCGTTGCCTCTGCCTCAATCTAGTTCTCGTCATGGCGGCAGTCAGGCGGGGGCTACTTCAGGCAGTAGCACGGGTGGTCTGAGGGTAACAGTGATGGCATACCCTCCAGGGAACCAACCCTTGGGGGACCATCACTCCTCTTGCACTCCGCAACCAGTTGAGCTGCCAAAGGAACGTGTTGGGCCCTCTACAAGGAGCGTAACAGCAGTATCCTTCGGCGCTCCTCCCGACAAACGGATGTTGATCGCTGCATCAGAGGGTGAGCTGGAGCTTTCTGGAGAGGAAGATTCGGCTGCGCTGCTGCCCTCTGGGATTGTAGCAATGCCTGAGTCGGATCCGGAAATGACAGCTATGCTTTCCCGGGCCACCGTGAGGGTAGGGCTCGAGTGGAAATCTCCACCGTGTCCCAAGCCCTCAAGGTCGGACGATTGGTTCTTCGGGGTGGCCCGCGCTGGTTCTCAGAGCCCCAGCCCGATGCCATTCTTCCCGGAGGTGCATGAGAAAGCACCACCTTACCAGGTCGTGGAAGGCACCTTTTTCTGCCAGAAACCGACCTGCTAACTCCTCCTCCCTCACCACTCTCGATGGTGGTGCAGCTAGGGGGTATACGGGGGTCCCCCCGGTGGAGCGGTCAGTTGCGATGCAGTTGTGTCCTGATACCGCCTCCACCCGGCAGGGCAAATCGCGCCTCCCCTCCCAGGTCTGTAGGTACTTGTCTGGTCTGTCCGGCGATGCATATGTGGCCTATGGAGAAGCCTTACACGCTACGGCGTTACTGCAGGTTCTTCAGGATAAAGCACTGAGGGACCTGCACGAGGGTGGTCACGACCTGGAAGTTTTGAAAGAGCTCCGAACCGCAACTGACCTCACGCTCCGAGCGACGAAAGTCACTGTGAGTTCTCTGGGTCGTGTGATGTCCACACTTGTGGTCCAGGAGCGCCAATTCTGGCTGTGCCTGGCTGACATGAGGGACGCCGACAAGTTCGGTTAATCAATGTCCCTGTGTCCCAGACTGGCCGCTTCGGCGATGCAGTCGAGAACGTGGCCCAGCAGTTCTCGGGTGCACAGAAGCAGACTGAGGCGATCCGACATGTCCCCGCCCGTCCAGGCCCCCGTCAAACCTGGTGGTGAGCGGAAGAGCAAGAGGTCCCGGGACGGGCGACCCAGAGAGAGAGGGAACTGCTCTTTGAGGGATGGTGAATGCACCTCTCCCTCCCCCGGAGGAGGGCCGGGTGGAGAATCTGGTTTCCAAAAATCTCGACAGGAGAGCGGTTTTCTCTGTCTCTGGGTCCCAAGAGGGCATGGAGAGTCGCGGACGGACCAACACCGGACCACACTCATCCTCCTCTCTCGCCAGCAGGGGGCGGTTTGAGAGCGTCATCAAGGGCCCTACTCACGCACCCTCTACCAAACTATGGAACCAGGTAAGCGTTGCACCACACACTCAGACCCCTCTTCGGTCTGCCCAACGGATCGGGTCCCTGCCTTCCAACTCGATGCTCCTGTCTTGCATGTGGAGATCGCAGTCCTACTGGCGAAGGATGCGATAGAGCCGGTCCCTCCAGCTGATATGAAGACGGGGTTTTACAGCCCCTACTTCGTTGTACCCAAGCAAGGCGGTGGGTTACGACTGATCTTGGACCTGCGTGTCTTGAAATGAGCCCTTCACCTGTTACCGTTCAAGATGTTGACTCAGAAACGCATCTTCGGGTGCATCCGTTCCCGATCGACCTGAAGGACGCATACTTTTATGTGTCAATCCTTCCGCACCACAGACCATTGCTGCGGTTCGCATTCGAAGGACGAGCATATCAGTACAAGGTCCTGCCCTCCGGGCTGTCCCTGTCGCCCCGTATCTTCACGAAAGTTGCGGAGGCAGCCCTTGTTTCCCTGAGAGATCAGGGCATTCGCATTCTCAACTACCTCGACGACTGGCTCATAATAGCTCAGTCTCAGGATCAGCTGTGCAAACACAGGGAATTGGTTCTCTCGCACCTCAGACCTTGAGTTTCTCTGAGCAGGAGTGCCCCTGGAACAGGTCTCCAGGCATGCTGTGGTTTACACGGATGCCTCCACCACTGGCTGGGGGGCCACGTACAACGGGCACGCAGTGTCGGGGGTTTGGACGGGCCCCCAACTGCACTGGGACATCAACCGCCTAGAGTTGTTAGCAGTACGCCTTGCCTTGAACCGTCTCAGAGGGCGCTTACGAGGCAAGCACGTGCTGGTCCGCACGGACAACACTGAGACCATTGCGTACATCAACCGACAAGGTGGTCTATGCTCCCATCGCATGTTGCAACTCACCCGCCTCCTCCTCCTCTGGAGTCAGAAGCATATGAGGTCGCTTCGTGCCACTTAAATTCCGGGCCTGCACAACCGTGCAGCCGATGAGCTGTCATGAGCTACGCTCCCCGGAGAGTGGAGACTCCATCCCCAGATGGTAATAAAAAAGAAAATTCCCCAGTGAACCTTCTTGCACAGACGCTGTCCAAGGTCAGGGAGGACGAGGAGCAGGTCCTGCTTGTGGCGCCGTATTGGCCCACCTGGACCTGGTTCCCGGAACTAATGCTCCTCATGACAGCCCCTCCCTGGCAGATTCCTCTGAGGAAGGATCTACTGACTGAGAGACGGGGCACCCAGTGGCATTACGTCCAGACCTCTGGAAACTTCATGTCTGGTCCCTGGATGGAATGCGGAGGTTCAAGGTGACCTACCTCAGGAGGTAGTTGACACCATCACTTCGGAAGGGCACTCAGGTAATCCTGAGGCCCCGGCCCAAGGTTCCTACTACCCCCTTCAGGGATCAGGTAGTGAACCTGCCAGCACTGCCCCCAGTGGAGGCAGACCCAACCCTAGCTTTGCTTTGTCCGTCTGAGCCTTGAGATGGTACGTAGACTGGACACATAGCTTGCGCTGGCTCGTGGCGCCTCGCTGACAGATATTTGTAGAGCTGCGAGCTGGGCAACCCCCAACACGTTCGCAAGATTCTATAGCCTTCGTGTGGAGCCGGTATCCTCCTGTGTTCTCACCTCAAACGGGTAGAGGCACTGAGAGGCCCCAGTTTAGTGTGTCGGCTTGCTAAAACTGCTCCAGAGTGTCCGTACTGTAGACCCTGTCGAGCAACCCTACATTCCCTCGGCAGCCAGACGTGGCAGAACGTCCGGTGCCAGGCCCTCATTCGATGAATCTGTGAGAACCGGTAGAGGGCTGGGTTCCATATGTAGAGACCTAAGTGGATCCCATATGTGTAAAGTCCATGGTATAGCCTCAGAGCCCGTGATTCCCCGGCAGACTTTTGCCATTTCCAAGAGGGTTATAATCACCTTTAATCTTCCATATGCACCTAAACGGTTGTTCATGTGTAAGTGCTTCCGAAACCTCCTTCGGGAAGGATGGGGCATACGCAACGTTCCTGTTCCAAGTGGTATGGATACGTTTTCCCAGTGTTATCCAATCTCACTAAGTGGGTAGTGCTACAACAACAGTGACCGGTCTTCTTGTTGCTAGCCCCGGCCTACACCAAAAAGGGGCGCAGGAGGCTCGCACAGGACACTGTAAGGGGCAGCATCCATGGTGCATTGGTAGGGATCCCAATTCGTCGGTCACCGTCGAGAGTGACTGACTGAAAGGGAATGTTTCGGTTACGTATATAACCCTCGTTCCCTGAAGGAGGGAACGGAGAAGTCACGTCCCGTTGCCACAGCTGCTGTACC